GGGCAGTCAATGCTCTGAGCAGGAGGAATGGCATCTCTGGTCTGCCATTACGCTGGCCCCAGAGCAGCCCAGATGGACATCCAGGAGCAGCTACGTGGGTGGCGGAGCAGTGGAGACGGGGACGTGGGTGACACACTCATTCCTGGCCTGTGCATCCTCTCAGTGGCTATTTATAGTGCCCTGATTATGTACCAGGCTCTCCTCAGCGTGGGATAGACAGCAGTGTGAATATCCACCGAGTTTACCACCCGGCAGAGGAAAACAGATCCTCAACGCGCTTGCACAAATAATGATTTAAATGCCGCTGCTTGGAAGAAATCCTGCGGCGGACAAGTTCCCCGGGGCGCTGACATTTAAGATGAAGCCTGAAGACAGACGAGAAAGCCTTGCCTGGAGAGGGGTGGTGCAGAGGGGGGTGCACAGAGAATCCCTAAGTGGGGGAGAAACTTGCCCCCTCTGTCAGAGGGACTGAGTCTGGGGTAAGTAGCAGCTAGAGATGAGGTGAGCCAGGAGGGTCGCAGGTGGAGCTGGATCTAGCTGACCTGGGTATAGGGTGAAGGGGTGCTCACTTGTTGGGAGGGACATAGGGAAAGACCCCTGTTCCCCAGACCTGACGGGGAATACAGCCTGGACGGGGCTTGCTGGGAGGAGAGGTGGGGGAGGAAGGTGGGCCGCGGAGCTGACGTAGGTGCCAGACGGAAGCTGACGCAGGGGCAGGCTGGTTGGAGACCTGGGGCAGTGCGGCTCAGGTGGGAGGTGGACGGCGAGATGGTGAAGGGTCTCATGGAGGCAGAGCTGAGGAGGAGTGAGGGGTACCACTGCCCTGGCCCCCCTTCCTCAGGGCCCCCTGCAGGCCAGACCAGGCCAAGCTGGTTTTTCCTTGTGCCGTCTGACCCAGGTCCCAACCTGCGAGGCGTGTGCTTTTATGTTCCTGTCACAGGTGTGCAGGGACTTCTGAGGCTTGGGGAGGTTAGGAGATTGACAGAGGTTTGGGGTTCAGGGTGCAGAGGCTGTGGGAGGACTCTGGGAAGTCCTTTGAGACAGGAAGGGGTAGGAGGAGAGTGGACTGGGGGAGGTCGGTGCTCAGCCACGCAGGGGAGAGCGGGGGGAGGGCCACATCCTGAACATCGGTGGTGACGGTGACCAGGGCCACAGGGCATGCCTGGGCAGGTGGGGTGGCGCATGGCCACCTCTGTTGCCCTGGTCAGTCAGCCCCTCCCTCCCAAGCATGCACCCCCTGCAGAGGGCAGTCCACCTTCTGGGGGGCAGGTGGTGGGAAGGTGAGGGGGCGCGTTTCATTCACGTGCTGCTCACGTGTAACCTCTCCTTGGGGTCCCCCCCCTTCCTCCGCAGGTTCCGTGTGCACCACCCGCACCAAGACCGGGGTGGGCTACCCGCAGCTGAGTGCGGTGATCGAGTGTGCGGACTCCGCCCACGGCCTCAAGGGGCACATCATCTCGGTGAGTCTCTGGCGAGGCTGGGGTTGGGGCTGAAGCAGGTTGAGACGGCAGGGGGGACCCTGACCCTGACCCTGACCCTGAGGGAGCTGGCTGCCTTACGGGGCCCTGTGGTTACATCAGGGACCTTCAGCAGAGACAGACCTGGCTGCCCGCGTCTTCTGCAGGGGCCACCAGCCTGCAGTCACTAAGGAGGTGGGGGGTGTGTGTGATGGGGATCGCAGGCAGCCTTGAGGACGCAGGGGCATGTGGTCCTTTGCTAGGGATGTTTTTTAACCAAGTGTCACAGACTCAAACAATGACATTTCCTGTCTCCCAGTTCTAGAGGCCAGAAGTTCCCCAGAACAAGGTGTGGGCTGAGCACCCAAAGCTCCGTCCTCATCCCGGATGCCCGTTTAGTAATGAGGATGCAGTTTTGAGGAAAAGGAAAAAGAAGATCTGTGGCTTTGCCAGCAAAGGAGAACCACAGGGGACTCCTATTCTAGTTGCGCAGGGCCTGGCTTTGGCTGAGGCTGGCTTTGAACTCGTGATCCTCCTGCCTCAGCCTCCCGAGCTGCTGGGATACCAGGCGTGCACCTCTCCCAGTGCCTCATATCAGGTGTTCCCTGGTTGTGATCCACTTGTTAATTTGATCTTCTGGTGCCACCCCTGAAGTCTGCCTTACTGGATTCCTGTGGTGGCAGGTGCTCTAAGGCAGATGGCTCTGCCTAGGTGGGGAATAAGGTCACCCTGTTCTGCCCCAGGTTAGGGAGGGGGATAGAAAGCACACCGATGGGCCTGAATGCAGAGCCGCAGGGGCTGTATTCCAGGCTCCAGGTGGACCACTGTCAATGGTCACTCGGTGTCCTTGGCTTCTGGCAGCCCAGCTCCGGTGTCCATGTGGCCTTTTCCCTGGGTGCCTCTGACCATTCCTCCTTTTTATCAGGAGACGGATCCTTTTGGCCTAGGGACCACCCTGCTCCAAGATGACCTTGACTTCAGTGACCTGGTTCCCAAATAAGGTCACATTCTAGGGGTTAGGATGGCAATGTGACTCTTGAGGGGGATGCGGTTTGACTCCCAACAGGCTACAGCATGCATGGTGTGGGCCTCCTAGGGTGAGTGGTAGGAAGTGCCCAGGGCAGGCTTCAGATGAAGGGGAGGGGAGGGCACTGAAGAGCGTAGGGACTGACTGAAGACCTCAAAGTCACTCCATCAGAGGAGGGAGCTGGAAGTGGGCAGCAGAGGGGGCAGGAGATGAGCTTCAGGGCAGCTGTGAATGCTGTGGCCTGTTAAGGATTGGGACTTCTCCCAAGGGTACTGGGGAGCAGGAGAGTGCCCAGTGGATCCATGTGTCTGGCAGAAACATCCAACGAGTTGCCTGGGAAGGATGGGAAAGGGGCAAGCCGAGAAGAAGGGACAGTGTGCTTCAGGCAGGATCTGATGTGCCTTCCACTAGGGTGGTAGTGGGGCTTGGGAGCCCTCCGCAGAACCAAGGGATGTTCAGGGGAGAGTTAAATAAGCCTGGGCAATGGAGCAGCCGCTTGGCAGCTGGTAGAGGAGGGGCCAGCTGCTCTTCCAGGATGAGTACTGGCTGCAGGGGAAGAGGTCGGGGTTGGTCTAGGGTTCATTTTGGGGACTGTAGGTTTCAAAGCACTCGAGGGTTGGGTTCACGGTTGGAGACCCGATCTCGGCTGATCAGAGCCAACAGCTCCTCCATCGCGGGAGCCCGGGAGTGGAAGCATGTGGGAGTGAGAGGTGAAGCCCGGGGTTGCCCTCAGGAGCCTGGGCAGGGACCGAGGAGCTGATGCAGCCCAGGAGGTTGGACCACAGGGGCCTGGGGAGGGTGCCTCCGCAAGATGCTGCCAGTGGCCCCCTGTGGACAGGCGAGAGCAGACTTCGGTGGCACATGTGGGAAGGAGGGAGTTGGGGACAGGCAGGCAGTATTCCACCAGAAGCTTCTGGAGGGACGGTGCCCCTAAAGGTGACTAAGGAATAAACGCTGATTTACAGCCTGTCTTTGACTCTCGGGCACCTCGTCCGCCTTCACATGTGACGGCCATTCAGCCCCCTGCAGGGAGTTTTGTGAGATGAGATGCTCGGAGCAGGCCTGGTGTCAGGTCTGGTGGGTGCCGACAGAGCCGTGGCTTTCACTCTGCGGGTGTTTGGCGTGTACACAGGTGTGCGTAATCGCCTCTTGCCGTCTGTGGGGATTGGTCTCACCCCTGTGGAAGCCACAGCCCATGGTGCCCAAGTCCCTGTGTAAAACTGTGTAGTATTTGCATATGACCTACACACACCCTACCATGGGCTACGATGACTACAGGACCTGGTACAGGTAAATACAATATGAATAGTTGTATTATTTAGGAACTAATGCCAAAAAAAAGTCTGCACTTTCAGTACAGATGCAATTTTTTAAAAAATATTTTTCATCTGTGTTAGGTTGAATCCAATGGTATGGAACTCACAGATACGGAAGGCAGGCCGTGTATTTTATGTGCCTGTGCATACACATACATATCTTATAGATTGGAAGTGTGGTCTGTTTTTGGTGTTTCTATTACAGTGCTGACTTATGTCGAGTAAATTAAAACTTCAGACCTTTCACTTCTGCTGTTGCAAGGTCAAGCTCGCACATTAAATCATGGATAAGTGTTTTTTTTTTTCTTTTATTATTTATTTTAAAGTAGAATGCATTTTTGACATATAGTACACAAACCGAGTACAACTTCTTATTCCTCCGGCTATAAATGAAGTTCCTTCATTCTTCCCTATCCGTTCACCCCACTATGGATCAGCATCCACTTATCAGAGAAAACATTCAGCTTTTGTTTTTTTGGGGGGGATTGTCTTATTTCACTTTGCACGATATTCTCTAGTCCCATCCATTTACATGCAAATGCCATAATTTCATTCTTCTTTAAGGCTAATACTCCATTGTGTAGATGTACCACAGTTTCTTTGTCCATTCATCCGTTGAAGGGCACCTCGGTTGGTTCCATAGTCTAACTATTGTGAATTGAGCTGCTATGAACATTGATGTGGCTGTGTCACTACAGTGTGCTGATTTTAAGTCCCTTGGCTGTAGACCGAGGAGTGGGATAGCTGAGTCAAACGGTGGATCCATTCCAAGTTTTCCGAGGTATCTCCATACTGCTTTCCATAGTGGTTGCCCCAGTTTGCAGTCCCACGATAGGTGATTGTTAAAAAATGAGAATTGATGTGGTCATCTCTGTGGAAGGCTTCCTCATTGATTTTGTCTCGGCCTCAGTGCTTGCTGAGGTCTGCGTCTGGCTTTTCATCCTGGTCTCAAGGTGCCATTACTCTGTCAGGACCCCTCTGTGCTTGGGTCTCATTTGAGTCTTACCTGAGCCCTGCCGGCCCTGCCCCATACCACGTGACTCTCAGCTCAGACGCACGCTAGGCTCCAGGCCCTGGGCTGTCAGTGCAGTGTGGGTTGCGTGGGCTCCTTCTCCTTCCTCAATCAGTTTCTTCATCTCTCTACCCATTCATCCGGTGGATATTCATTGAGCACCTACTGGGTGCCAGAAACTAGAATAAATGACCAACATTTTATCGGTGAATGCAGAGTTCCAAGGCTGTCCACTCATCTTTTCCCCCAGTGAAGATATAGCACTCATTCATTGAACACCTGGGGTGGAAAAGACTGATGTAGACCCCAAGTCTTCATTTGCTGAGTCAGGGCACTTGTCATGGAAGCCACCAAGCAGCACTCCCATGCTCCAGTCTGCCAGTGGGTCTCAGATGCTTGCTTCAGTGTCATCTGGGCTGGCTGCATGAAGACCACCAGAGAACTGTTATAAGGACGTCGCTGGACCCCATCCCAGAGAATTAGGCTCTTTAGTCTTGGACCCCAGAGCCTCATGGGTTGTGAATTGCCAGTCCCCGTTATGTAATCATGCTCACCTTCAAGAGTCTTCATCAGAACCTGGGCCCCACGTCATGTCTTCCTCGAATGACCACCATTTCCAAGAGTGGAAGTCCAGTGGGTGAAGTCTGACGCCGAGCTTCTTCTGAGACACCACACTTGATGTCCTTCCGGAAACTTCAGACTTGCTCAGTTCACAGGACTGCTTGAGCAGGTTGGGGTGGGGGTCCTGGAGGCTCTGTGGGTACCCCAGCCGACTCCGGTGGAAATCACCTAAGCTTCTCTGCACAGCATGTCCCAGTGGGTAACTTGCTTCAGTTCTGAGTGTGGTGCCCGGACCAGCAGCGTTGGCATCAACTAACGGCTCGTCAGATTTCCCGGGTCCCCCTCTAGGCCTGACCTACTGAGTCAGGCAGTGAGGCCCGAGCTTCTGTATGAACACAGCCTCTGGGTCGTTCTGATGTGTCCTGAGGTTTGGCTTACTTAGGGGAAACTCGGCCTTGCTGGCTGGATTCCAGGGCCAGCCTTCATGTGCTGATGTCAGTAGGGGGCGCTGATGGCCCAGGCCTGTGGGCTCCTGCGGTGGGAAGGTGGCCCTTAGGAGCCTACCTGAGTGCTTCCAAGGTATTCATTTTTCCAGAATTGGTGGGAGAGTTCCTCGATGGGGTCAGGAGTGCAGTTTGCAGCCAGGAGACCAGATGCAGTTCACAGCTGCTACAGGAGTGGACCCTGCACTGGCTCCCCAGTTGCCACCAGCTGCACACGCCCAGGCTCACAGCAGCTGCTGCTCCCACCTGCCTAGTGTCACGCAGCCTCGCAGGATGGCTTCTCCCAATTGCCAAGAGTCTGGAACCTGCAGCGAACCCAGCAGATGTTAGGAGCCTGTCACTGTGTCCTTCCAGCTGTCTCCTTGCACACATGCATTACTGAATGAGCACATCTGTGCTGTTGCAGTTCCCAGGAAGCCCCACCAGAGGGGGCCAACAGGCGGGGCCGGAGCTAGGTTTCTATTTATTGTGGTCCCTGTAGGCTTCAGGGGGCAGAGTGTGGGAAAATTCAAGACAGCCCCACGCAGGCAAAGATTAAGGAATGAACAGTTCATTTCTTCTTGTCACACTGTGATTTAGAAAGACCTACTCATTAAATCTTTTTTTTAAGGCCTTGAAAAGTCCCCCCAACATGCTCAATCTAGGAAAAGCTAGAAATGTAAACAAACGTTAAAAAATAAGGATCAGAACCCACCCACCCCCCAGAAAATATCAGAAATGCTGTCATAAGACAGCTGCTGGTTCTAATCTTATGTTTCCATTTTTATAGCTATGTGGCCTTAGGAGAGTCACTCAGTCTTTCTGAGTCTCATATTTGCCCTCACTTAGAAAATGCTGGCTTCAGTTTCTGAGGATTGAACCCAGAGGTGCTGAACCACTGAGCCACATCCCCAGCCTGTCCTTCCTTCCTTTTTTTTTTTTTATATGTATTTTGTGACAGAGTCTCACTAAGCTGCTTTAGAGCCTTGCTCAGTTGGTGAGTCTGGTCTTGAATTTGCCATCTTCCTGCCTCAGCCTCCCCAGCTGCTAGAATTAGAGACATGCTCCACCACACCCAGCCTGCTCCCCTTTTTAAAAAACTCTCCAGCAGTTGCACCTCTGTGAAGGTAAATGCCTGTCTTAGATTTCAGAGGGTGCCCTGCTGCCCCATCCCCTGGGAACATGAAAGGATGCTTTGCTTGGCAGAGGGGCACAGACTGCTTTGTCTTAAGGCTTCCTGTCAAGATGGATTGCATGCGGTTAACTGCAGACAGGCTCGTTTGGGGGCATCTTATAGATGCATACACACAATGGGGGCAGGTGACGCCATCACCGGTTTCCTCTCTGCGGCACAGTCTGCAGCCGAGTTGACTGTGGCCTTCTTGGCTCATCCTGGGAAGAGGGGCTGGTTTTTTATGCTCCCAGTAATGCGGGACATCTGCATCAGGCCTCATCACTGACCACAGCTGGGGGTTTTCAGGAGCCCCCACGAGATACCCTGTTTCCCAGTCAGAACTTCCGAGACCTGTTCTGATGGGAGCATGAGTTTATTTTGTTCATTTGAGGTTATGGTTTGAAACCTTTTGAAACCCGGTGGTGCAGAGCTGGTTTTGAGAAAGCTCTAGAAAGTGAACTGACGGATGCGTGGCGGGCAGGTTGAGGTTGTATCTGTGGCGCCGGAAGCGGTGACAGGTGTCTGGAACCACAGCCCCTGCCTCCCAGGGAGGGCTGGGGCCGGACACCTTGAGGGCAGAGACTGCCGCTGAACTGGTGGAGCCCCTGTGCCCTGTGGCCCTCTGGGGTCAGGGAGGCTACACAGGGAAGAGGAGTTGGTAGCGCCCTCACATCTCCCTCCCATCAGGTCAGGACTGCAGGGCAGTGACAAGTGGAGCCGCACTCCAGCTCTCAGAGCGGCAGGCCTGATGAGCCGTAGCAGAGCCGGAGTCCCCGAGGCCTGTGTCCTCAGATCCAGATGCTCCTTGCAAAGTGGTCCATCCCAGTTCTCCATTGATCCTGGTGCCACACTCCTGCAGGTTGTCACCCAGGGCAGCACCAAGTGGCCTGTGTTCTGTGTTCCTGGGAACAGGTGGCCCCTCAGGGGCCTCGGTGTTTCTCCTAGGCCCACAGTGACCTTTGGACTGTGTCACTGGTGTGCTGTTTCTCCCCTCCGGCCTGTGCTTCCTGGCTGTCCCTGCCTGGCTGGCTGCCACTCCATGGTACTGCTGTCCCCCTTCACCCAGGCCACACTGGGAGGAGCAGGCAGCAGCCTGGGCCTTTGGGGTCTTGTTTGTAAGGAAACACAGTGGGCTCTGCTGCATGCTGGGGACTTTGTACCATGTGGCTGGGCTGGAGACAACCCCCAGAGCCCAAGGTAACCGTGTCCCTCTGGGACTAACCAGCCCCACACCTGTGCTCTGTGCAGGCAAAGTAGGTGTAGAGAGTGGATGTGTTGAATTTTAAGGTAACTGGGATTGGCACCGGAAGGACATGAGAGGCATGAGGTGGCTCCGAGATAAAGGAACTAACTCCGTGTTCTTTCCATAGCTCTTAAAATAATGCAGCCCTTGAACTAAATAGATCTCGCCTCACCCCAGGCACGGAGAGAACAGTGGCTCCTGACGGACGGTGATCGGGGCTGAAGGGGTGGCTGGGGTGCTACCTAAAGGGCTAGCCAGGGGCACCTGAGCCTGGGGGGTGGCGCATGGGTATTTGGCAGTACGTGGCAGCTGGGGGAATGGGAGATGTGATTTTTTGGGAGTCAGCTAGGCCAGAAAGCAACAGTTTGAGTTGTTGGTCCAGGTGCCTGGCTGAGCCCGGGGGTGTGAGCTCCTCATCATCCGGGGAGGGGCCAGCTCCCACTGATACTCACGTCCTCTCCTTGTTCTTTCTTCTGTGAAGGATGGAGGCTGCACCTGTCCAGGAGACGTCGCCAAAGCCTTTGGTAAGGATGGCCTGGTGGGGAGGAGGGAGGTGCCCTCTGCGGCGGGGGGGCAGGGGGGAGGGGACTGGGATGAAGAGGCCGAGGGGAGGTTCTTGCTGCCAGTGTTTCCACTCCCTGTGTTCCTTTCCCAGTTGTCCTAAGTCCTGGCCCTGGTCTGGTTCTGGTCTGTGGCAGAGGAAGCCAGGTGCTCAGGAAATGCATCTGGCAGTGATGTTCTGCAAGCCTGGAGTGGGTGACGCCTTGGGCTCTTGATTGAGAATACTCTGGGAACCTGGGCTCTTTTTCTTTTGTGTGGCGCTGAGGGTGGAACCCACGTCAGGCACGCGCTCTACCACTGACCACACTCCAAGCCCCAGGTGTGCTCTTTCACTCCACCTGAATTCCCTGGGAAGGGAGAGTCCAAGCGCCTGCTCCCCACTAGGAGGCAGCAGTGTCCATTGCAATTGAGGGGATGATGCTGCAGGGCTCGGCTGTGTCCTGGGTTTTTCCTGAGAAAGCTCTAAGAGGTTGAGCATCCTGAGAGGCAGTGAAACAGGGCTGCGGAACCCTGTGCTGATGCTGACTACTTAATCTGCCAAATGCATTCAGAAGTCAGAGCTGACTGCACAGAGGGGTGGCTCCAACTCAAGTGGGAGCTGTGGGTACCAGCAGGAGGCAGAAGCAGGGCTCCCATGGGGCCACTCCTTTGTGTGTGTGTGTGTGTGTGTGTGTGTGTGTGTGTGTGTGTGTGTGTGTAAATTAGGAAATGTCTTAGGAATTTGCTTTTTGGGCTACCTGGGATTGAACCCAGGATGTTTAACCACTGAGCCACATCTCCAATCTTTTTTAGAGACAGAGTCCGAGTTGTTCAGGGCCTCACTAAGTTGCTGAGGCTGGGTTGAACTTGCAGTCCTCCTGCTTCAGCCTCCCAAGCTGCTGGGATTACAGGCGTGCACCACGGCACCTGGCTCTGTTTTTTTTTTTTTAAACAAAAACTCTGCTAGCTTGTGACAACAAAGCATGGGTTTGTGGTCTTCGTAGCAATTTAGTAGCAACCCAAAGAATGTCACAAAAGTAGGACTCAGTCCCTTTCTCATCACAGCTCTCAGCTGCAGGAGGACTATAGAGAGCCCCGACCTCCTCCAGCAGCCGGCACATGGCCCCGAGGTGAATGACCAGGGCGGGACAGACTGGGCCCTTCACTAACCGTGGCCCTCAGGCCTTGTTGTAAGGGTCTCCAGCCAAGGACATTCTTAGTACCGAGGGGCGTTCCATCTCGGGCTCCCTTCGCATCCCCCGTGTGCTCTCTGCAGAGCCAGAGCTGAACAGACCTTGAGGTGACGGTTGGTCACAAAGGTGCCCGGGAGATACCAGCCCCAGCCCTTCGCCTCGCCCTCTGCTCAGTTCCTTCCGATGTCTTTCCCTCCCACTTCCTTCCAGGAGCGTGGCTGCCTGTGCAGACCGTAGACCGTGGAACTCCAGGACCTCGCTGGGAACATGCTGGGTGGGGAAAGCTATCAGGGTTTAGAAAATAACGGGGGCCTGCTTCGAGCAGGGCTTCCAGTGGGTCTGCTGTGTTCCTTCTGTAGACTCCTGGGGCGACACCATCCGTTACCCTCTGTCCTGTTAACATCCTGGCAGGACTGGGGAGCCGGCCTTGGGGTTGGGGCCCTGGGGAGATCTGCACAGCCGCCTGCTGTGTAGACCATGTGTGTCTTGCTGGTGGAGTGCCAGGCCGAGGGCCAGCCCTGAGAACAGGCCATTCTGTAATAATGCCAAGTGGGACTGAAACCCTGCACCTTCCAGGGTCCTCTTAAATGACTTGATGCAAGATGTCGGGGCTACTTTTCAGGCTTGCTTTCATTTCTCCTGCTGAGGGCTTGGCTTCCTTCCTCTTATTTAATACATCTGTACCCTGCTATTGTCTTGTCCTGTTCTCAATGTGAACCCTCGGTAGGACTTGCTCCCAGGAGAAGTTGTACAGTTTCTTAATGTTTTAGTCCATTTTCTGTTGCTGTAACAAAACACCCAAGGCTGAGTAGTGTATAAGGACAGGAGTTTATTTGGCTCATGGTTCAGGAGGCCTGGATGTCCAAGAATGTGCTTCTTGGTTTACAGGGAGGGCCTTCTTGGTAATAGCAGGGGGCATCACATGACGAGAGCAAGTAAGCTGCGAGCTCAGGCCTCTCTTCTTGTGATCCATGAATATCTTAAAGGAGACCCACCCTCATGACCTCCTGTAATCCTAATGCCCTCCCCAAAGGTCCCACCTCTGAACACCTCAACAGATGAAATTGGAGAGTGTTGCCGACACATGAACTTTTGGGGGACACTGTCAAGTCATGGCACTGAACATTTAATGAAGGGTCCTTTGCATAGTCAACCAGGAGCAGGATGAGGAATGGAACCATTTTTATATCGTCCACGTGGTTTATTCCAACTTGTTATTTTCTTGATAGCTAGTCATTTCGTGTCTCCCCTGTGCCACACACTGGGGTAAACAGAGCCAACCTCAATAGCTCGGTCTCCTCTGTGGCTTCCCTGGAAATTTCATGTCATTTGGTGACACATGTGGCGTATTATCAACCTGAGGGCTAATGCTCACCCAGTAGAGGGACAGGTAGAGTTTTACGGATTCATGCAGGGGTTTCCTCTCCTCCATGCCCAGTCTTCAGTGGAGAGGTGCAATCTGCTTTGAGGGCTGGTCCCCATCTCTAAGCACAGAGAACTTCAGGAGAACACCAGGTGCCTGTTGGGGACATTGTAGAGGAGTTAGTTACCCGATGGAGATTAGATGACATGCTTCCTAAGATGGTGCATGATTCTTAACATCTATTTGCATCTAAGAGAACAGCTTCTCTGTTTTGAAGGTGTCCGTCATTAATAACCATCGGTCACGTTCCAGTACCTTGGCTACAAACCTTCTGCAGGCTCCGTTTGTTTCTCCCAGTGTCTGTGCCCCCGCAGGGCAGCCGGGGAGGAGGGGAGAAGGTGCGCTGGGGAGGAACTTGGACCTTCCGTAGCTCAGTGGCAGAGCGCTTGGGAGCATGTGGCCAGTGCCGGGGGGCAGCGGCTCTTTGCAGAGTTCACCTTCTGACTTCCCTAACTTCCCCCTCTTCTTCCCCACCTCTGCGTGTAGGAGCTGGAGCGGACTTTGTCATGCTGGGAGGGATGTTCTCTGGCCACACCGAGTGTGCAGGGGAAGTGATCGAGAGGAACGGGCAGAAACTCAAGCTCTTCTACGGGATGAGCTCCGAGACGGCCATGAAGAAGCACGCGGGGGGCGTCGCCGAGTACAGGTGGGTCCAGCCCTGGCGCCTCCCGGCCAGGCCTCCTGCCTGGCCTCAGCCACAGGCCTGGCCAGCAGTGCTGTGTGGAGGGACTCTGGGCAGGGCCTAGAAGGCACCTCTGGCAGCTTTTTTAAATAGAGCCCCGACTTGTATCCAGCTGGCATTTGCAGTGCAGAACAGAAGCACCTGAGGCCGGGCTGGATGGTTGGGGGTGAGGGTGAGCAGGGAGCAGCCTGGACGGGAGGCCGCCTTGGCTTTCCAATAGCGCCTTCACGGTGCTGCTTGTGGCCATAAGGCTGCAGGAATGGGGCTCAGCAGATCTCTGGCTGCGGGGCCAGGCCACAGCTCTTGGGCAGGTGCAGGCTCTTTGGCTCTGTCACCGGGCAGCCAGCTTGCTCTTGTCCACTGATACTTTTAAACCCGGGACCCCCTAGGCCCTGTGGCCTTTCGTCTCACCTCCTTCTTAACTGTGCGTTCAGACCCCGGCTGCCCAATAGACTGCCTCACCTCCCACCTGACCCAGCCAGAGCCAATGGCCAGTGACGGGCCAGTGGTCTGGAGGCCTGGGGAGGCATCAGCTGGAACACGCGGACGGCCTTTCTCCAGGAAGCTAAAGCTTCCTTCCTGCAGCCCACAGGGTGGACTGGAGCTTCAGATGCGTCCTGTCAGGTTCCGCCCAACTAGAGGTGGAACTGCAGAACTCCTCCGGGTTCTGGGGCCTGTTCTTCCAGAGTTCTGTTCTTTGTAGGGTTCTGGTGGGCTGACTTCCGTCTCCTCCCAGGCATTTTCCTCTGACGGGGCTGGGGACTCTGTAAAGTAGGGGAAGGCAGGTGGGCCTTCCAGGGTGGCCCCTGAGGCCCTAGCTTCTCATGGGAGCTGGAGGGGGAGGTTGCACAGTGTGAACCTGGTCCCACAGCCAAGAAGCTGACTGCTCAACCAGCTGCTGTGGCCACCAGCCTAGGCCTGTGCGGTGTCTGCCCTTTGCCCTAATGAAGTGCAGCCGTGTGGCGGAGCAGTTGCAGCTGTCTGGGGGCCTCAGACACGCCACATGCCGTGGACAGGGAAGGCTAGCGTCGGCCACGCACAGGCCCAGGAGCCAGGAGGAAAACCTCCACTTGGGATTTCAGCAGGGAGCACCCATCACAGAAACACCAGGAAGCAGGGTGAAATCTCCGACAAGAAAGAAGGTGCTGAAGGAGTTAAATCTTGCCCCACAGGTAGCCTGAGCTCTGTAGTTGAACCTGCCTCCGTCCCTTTGCAGTCTGGTGACCACAATCTTGTCACGGAGTGATTCTGACTTTGACGTCGTATTTGATTACAGCACTGCTGTTAATGGACGCTTTGCCGTTCTTTCCCAGTTATTAACCATCCCATCCTCACACTGTCCCCAGGAGGCAGGGCACCTTCATTTGACAGATGAGCAGACCTCAGCATCAACCGTGAGTGACTTGTAAAATGTGACATTAACAGTTAGTATAGAGGCAGCAACGAGAATCTGAATAATTTCCAGCCAGTTCTGAAAGGTCCGGGAAGTGTCTGAAGACGGGGGGCAATCACTGCAGGGACGTGTGTGCACCTGACTGTGGTCATAGAGTGCTGAGACCTGAACCACCCTGCTAGATCACGTGGGCTATCCGACTGGAGCTGTGGCATGGGTGACTCTGGTTTCCCGAGTTTGGTGACCTAACCCAGTCCCTAGGCCAGCCCTTCATCCAGCCCATGGTTCTGATAGCCAGACTCTCCTGGGTGTCACCCCAGGAGAGTCTGGCACGTTCGGCCAATAAGCAAATATCCTTTGGAAATTCTGCATAACAAGTTTCTGATCAAGACATGCTATTTCTCCAGGGAGAATATTTCTTCCATAATAACGACCATGGAAAGTTCTAGAATGCAGGTTGGAATCTGCCTGGCCTCAGAGGAGGAGGGCCAGAGGAGAAGTGAGACTTCCTTCTCAAGATGCCTCTGCAAGTGGGGTGGACTGTGTCACCACTCTGACTTGTGAAATCAAGCTAAGGCAGGGACAGGGGTTCTGGGACAGTGAGGTGGTGCTCACTGTTGGTGCCACTCACCAGACTTGCGTCTGAATACTCCTCTGAAAACGTCAGCAATGGGGGTCGAAGCTCTGAAGCCACCTCACTAGGCTGGTTCTTAGCTGGGACCCGCCGTGCCCTGGCAGGAGGTGTGCTGACTTGTAAGAGCACAGAGAGCTGAGCTGGTGCTGGGTGCCCTGGAGACGGGCTGTCAGACTGGGCTCTGGCCTGGGTGGAGCTTCCCATGTGACCTAGGAGGGCCTGCCTCGTCCGTTTCCATCTCCTCTTCCTGGCTGTCCAACCGTAGAGTTGGTGCTAGGTAGAGCAAAGCCCTGGGTTGGTGCAGGAGACTGTTCCAAGAGGTAACCCACCAGGTCTTTCCCCCCATGGGCATGTGGGCACTTGGTCATTTGGAAGCTGGTGCATATGGAGAGGTGGTGTTGGTTTCTGTGGGGCAGAGTGCAGGCTGCTAACATCGCCAAGTGGAACCGTGGGAGTCTGCAGTGCCAAGTGATGTCAACCAAGACTTCTTCCTGGTGCCCTTGGGGTGGGAGGGCTGCATCTCCCTGGCAGTGCCGTCCTGGTCTGCTTGGCAGTTATGGGGGAGGGGGAGGGGAGGGCTGCTGAAAGTGCTGCAGCTGGGAACAGTTCTGCATGGGCTCTCCAGGACAAGGAAATGTCTCCTTTCTCTTCCAGAGCCTCTGAAGGCAAGACGGTGGAAGTGCCTTACAAAGGGGGTGTGGAAAACACTATTCTGGATATTCTTGGGGGACTGAGGTCGACCTGCACCTACGTGGGGGCCGCCAAACTCAAAGAGCTCAGCAGGAGAGCGACGTTCATCCGGGTGACCCAACAGCACAACACGGTGTTCAGCTAATGCAGAGATGGAGTGACATCCCGCTGGAGCGGAAGCCCCCGTGCCACCTGCTTCTCCCACCTCTCCTGGCTTCTCGCTGCTCCAAATGGTGGTGTGCTGCGTCCTTCCTCCCCCTCCTGCCTGGAGGCTTTGGGGCTCTCCCTTGTGCCTTGGGGCCCAGAAGCAGGGCACCGCTGGGCCAGCAGTCAGATCCCAGCTGCCCAGGGCGCACAGCCTTATTGTTCAATCCAACAACTTGCACCTTTTTTGGAAAAAAAAAAATCATTTTAATACAATGCTGTTGAGATTTGATTGAGTGCTGGGGTTTGCCTTTGCAGGAGCCACACGGGGGTCCTTGGAGATTTGGGGGCTGTCTACCCAGCCTAATGAGTGGCATGCTTGACTATGCCCATACCAGGTACCTTGAGAGGGGTGGGCAGAGCAGAGCTGGAGTCAGAATAACCAGTACCCCTCTCTCCTGTTCTTGGCTGCTGGAGAACATGAGGTCTGGTCCCCTGCCGGGGCTCACGGGCTTGGTGGTGTCCTTCATACTAGCCTTCCAAGGGCCATCTCTGGCTACCTGTTGGAGCTGCTGCTAGGCAGCTGGCCTGAACAGGTTTCCTTTTCCTTTTCTCCATCCTTTTTCCTCCCCTTCTCAGTCCCAACTTGTCAGGCTGCACCTTCTCAAAGAGGTTATTATACATTAGTCTGCACTTAACCTTTAACATCTGGTCCAGCTTCAAAGAGATTAGCGGGTGGAGTCCTGTTGGAAGAGCAACTGGCCTGACTCAGTAGCATCCTCAAAAGCATTGCTCTAAAATGTGAGACTGAGCCCTACCCAAGGAGGAAGGACCACGTGGTTCTGTCATAGAGGGTTTGGCTGGCTGGTGACAGCGGTCTTGTCTGGACAGAAGGGCCCAGGGCCTCCTGAGGACCGGCAGGTTTACACACTCCAGGATGTGACACTTCCTGTGTTAATGAGGCAGGAGCAGAGTTTCTTTGAAAAGGCAACCACCTCCCTCTAGGTCCCTGGAGTAGAGAGGGAGCCCTCTGTGCTGCTAAATAAGGATGAGCCCATCAAGCGTCCAAGGCCAGCCACACTGTCACCACTGGGAGAATACAGGCCCCGTTTGTTTTTAAAGGCACGTTTCCAATACCAGAGTAACTGACCCCTCTCCCCACCCTGAAGTCCACGGAGCTGCTCTTTACCTGCAGAAACACGAGGGGCTCAGTTTGGGAGAATGCTTGAGGGTCAAGAGGATGTTTCCTGTTGAGAAAAAGGTGGCGCTCGATGGCCCCCCACCCCTCCTTCCCGCCTGTCTGGGTGAAGTGTCAGCCTCCGGCCGTCCCTGTGGGAGGAGTGTTTCACACTCAAGTCCTGAACTTTGTTTTAATGAGACTCTTGCAAGATAAGGGAGAGAAGTGAAGAAAAAAGAAAATCACAAATCCACTAAAAGTTCCTGCCATAGTACAGGGACTTCCTCTAGGACTGTGACCCTCACCAAACTCCTGCTCTTGTGACCCAGTGTCTCCTTTCTCAAGTTTGGCTCTCGGAGTACACTGGTTCCCTGGAGCGGGATGGCCCCGATCCACGCTGCTTTACCATCTTGTGGAAAGGCGAGTTCTTCATCCTCACAACCAAAGGCAGGGGTTTGCAATCCCGCTTCTGGGAAGTAAAGACAGTCATTGCAAAGGGTCAGATTGAAAGAGGCACCATAAAAAGATCTGGCATCCCATCCCCCTTAGCAAGTTCATCTCTGTCCCTGGAGGAGCCTCACCACCTGAGAGCCCCAGAGACCAGGCGCATCAGTTAGGATGTGGATGGAGGCATAGTGTGCAGCCCTGCGGCCACCGAGGGCACAGCCTGTGACCCTGACACTCACCTTGGGCTGGACCACGATCCAAATGGTTTCAGGGACTGCCCCACGGCAGCCCTGGAAGCTGTGCTTTGAACCCCTGGGGATATCACAGCCATCGGACTCCAGACCTGTGAGGACCCTTAGCAGCAAAGAAAAGTGAAGCAGGCAAGGTAGCGGTCAGCCAGCTCCAGCAGGCCCACCCACGACGTGCGGCACACACAGCTGCCCGGACAGCGGCCCCACTGAAGGGCCGCCCGGCCTGGCCTCTGGCTCCCCCATCACCGGTGGCTCCATGCCAGTTCTTTCCCACTATGACAGTGTCAGGCCCTCGACTCCAGTCCTAAGAGGGTAGCTGATGCCCACAGCAAACCCAGCAGAGGTGACAGAGGAAGGAGGGTGACCCTCCTCCCGGACCACACCAGGACTCCTGGGTTTCTCTCAAGTTCTCTTCTGCAACATGGAACCACAAGGCTGGACACCTGTCACAGCTGTGTCCACAGGTAGGGTGGGGACCCCTCTCCAATCCCGCCCCCCCCCAGAAAGTCTCAGGTCCTTGAGAAACGACTTTAGGCCACATCCTCCCCAGACAACCCCGTGCGAACTTGAGACAGACACGGGGCAGCTCCTCGTGCCCAGAGACCCCTTCCCACCGGGCTCCTCAACAATCATCGTGGAGCTGCAGGACACACAGATGGTCTTTCCACCTTTAGACCACTAACTGGGCCACGGCAAAACCGCAGAGGACACACTGACTATGCCGTGCGAGCCCAGGAAGCTGCCAGACGTTTACCAACAAAACCTGTGAACCACAGGATTCAGACACAAGCAGGATCTGAACCAACCAGGACATCACGAGTGGACGCCAACCTCTTATCTCAGAACCTCATCTCAAGGGCCTCCTTCCCCCAAATGAGTAGGGAAACCAAGTCTCAGGCTACCTCCCCAACTCCCCCGGGGGGAAAGTCACGGGACACTTGGTGGCAGAAGGAAGAACTACCCACAGAAGGCAAAGACTCAGTTGCAATTGGCACTGTTATTTTATTAGTACGAGTATACTGAAACAATAAACTTGTACTGGTATACAGACAATTTATTTAAAACAATTTTGTTCAAATTTTGAATCAAACATTGTTTTATTATAATAATGAAATAATTTCTACCTAGAAAACCTGCAAGCACCATCAAAGAAAGGGACCATAAAATTCAATAAACAGACTCGAGTGTATCCTACAAATAGACACACCACGATTAGAAAATAGAATATGAATTCTTCCATTTTTTTTTAATATTTGTTTTAAAAAAGCTAGTGCAAGTACAATATTTTACACTGGAATTACAGAGAGTATGCACGCATATGGAAAAAGTTCTCCTGTCACAATAAAAGCTCTTAACTATGTATGCACTTAAAATTTTCTTTTCAGTAAGGTGCAAAACATCATTCCTTCCCTAGTTCTTCTCCATACTGGCTGGCTCTTTCTGGTCATGCCCTCGACCCAAGTTTTGGTGTCTATTTTCCCTTGGCCGGTGGGAGGCATCCAATTGGAAGTTTGGTGGGTACTTATCCAAGGTTTAAACATCCAATGGTACTAATCTCAGAGATGGCTCTGGGGGTCAGCACCCCACTGGCTAGAAATGAGGACTCTGTCTTATCCAAAGGCCACCGCAAACACAGGACTCTATGGAAACCTTTCTGTTGACACTAATTGGGTTTATAGTTGAGCAGTGCAGAGTGGGAGGAAGAATCCTGGCCCCAAGAGCAATATTCACACACCTGGATGCACAGGTATCAAGTTTAGGATTCACTGACTCAATAATTCACCCCACTCCTGAGCCAGAGAATAACAGAGAGTAGGGGGTTTGTGTGAGAACCAGAGAAAAACCTATGCACCCACCCTCTCAGTGATCTTTCAAGACAACAGCTCTAAGCCAGAGTCACCTGGACCTGGTGTTCTGGAGGACACTATGTTTGTCATCTTGCTAAGAATTACTGTAAACAACTCTTCCCACGCAGGCCTTCAGATTGGCCACGGTTAAGGAGACAGGTCACCGACCATCCAAACAGCACACAGACAGACAAACTAAAGGGAAAGAAAACGTGGGTTGGTGAAGTCTCCAATTTATCTGCAGTGGAAGACTGGAGTCCTTTCAGATAAGAAAAGTTATGGGAATCCTTAGAGACTGTTATCATAGAGATACCACCTCTTGGCCAAATGCACTTGATTTTTAATACAGCTGAACCGTTTGTAATGCAAGCCGTGGGGACATGAGAAAGGGAAGCTGTGGGTCCCTCCCACCCTGTACATGTGAATGTCAGCTTGTGCAGACAGTTGCACTGAACTATCAGGGACGGGCTGGGATTCTGAATTTAAGAACTAGAGCTGGGTACATTTAATATCCCCACAGCTGTCTAGCTTGATTTGGGGACAGAAATATGACTTCTGAGAAATCCCTCTACATTTGTTTTTGGCCTCTATTAAAGAAAAATCAAAATGAAACTAAAAGTAAAATGAGGCATATACATTAAAATTCATATTTTACCCTCCATTTAAATGTGTGTGTGTGTGTGTGTAAGGGGCAAGAAGGCTAACCTTTTTTTTTTAATTTTATATATATATATAATTTTATCCTTAGAATGAGTCCTGTTTTATTGGTAGCTAGGATCCCTTTTAGAAACACTTCATGTTCAGGAATATATTCTTTGGGTTTATAGGAACAGGAAGTGCTGAACATGTCAAAAACATCATCTCTGAAGAAAAAGTAGTTGCAAGTGGCTTAGAAGAGTTTAGACTCAAAAGGGAGCTCTGAGAAGTACTTTCAGCCAGGAATGAACAGTATTCTCAAACAGCGGTACGCAGAGTTTCTCTCCCTCGGCCGAGGGCTATGTAACAAACACATCACAGGAAGCATAGGTGTCATTTAAGAGCCTATGACGTAATAATTCTTTCAGGCCACAACCATACAAATCTGATCATTTAGACATGACAAATTTCTATATACAAAAAAAAAAAAAAATTCCAAACATGTAACTTTCAACCTTTCTCCGCTTTTTCTTCTCCGTTTTTACAAACAAGTATGAAACTCACTGTTTCAACAGATCACATCTTTCAAACACTGAATGAATCATCTCGACATTCATTTTTCTTTTGTGCAATTTTATTTAAAAACATTACCTGTACTCCTCAAAGTGAGTGCTTAAATTTTTTATTTTTCTTCAGCTTCTCAAATTAGGTGTACATTAAAGGAAAAAAAAATTCCCACAAGGTATAGTGCTACAAGAAAAGATCCTATCAGTAAGGTAACATATTTGAAGCGAGGTCATTTATGTAAAAGAAATCTCAGCTCCGGAGTAGAGGTGTGCAAGTTGTTTGGAGTTTCCTTATGAACAGAAACACAACACTGTCCGTGGAAAAGAGAGGAAACCAACCCATCACAATACACCATACGCGTGTGCTTTATAAAAAGTATGTTCTCTGTATTTTTATTACTTGATGTGTTCTTAAATTCTCTATTTCAGAAATTCTGGGTTAAAAACACAAAAGGTAGAAGCAACGGCCTCCACTCCACTTTAAAAACAACCAAAAAGTGTAATTCTCTTTCATTCACTGAAGAAACTGGATTGGGCCAGGGAGACCTCCGGCCCCGTTTTCACCTGGATTTATCGAGGGTGACTAGGAAATCGGAAGTGCCAAGGGTTTCAGGAGAGACCGGGCCAGTTCGTTGAGCAGTTCCTGATTCAGGAAACAGTATCCATGACAACCAGCGCGGCTCAAGAAGCCCGGTTTTCTGTCCCCAGAGCTCTGCTTCCCCACCCATGTCTGAAATAGCATAGCATTAGTGTCTTCAAAAGCATCTCAGATTTTTTTTTTGTTTTTCTCTATGAAAGAAATAGGTTTCCTTAGTAGTCACAGATGTTAAAAGGGTATTGTCAATTGTTTCCTTAAAAAAAAAAAAAACAACAAAAGTGAATCCAAAGCTACGACAACAAAAAAAAATAAATTTTGGCAACTTATTTCAGTAAGGTTTCAAACTATGTGCAAAGAGTGGATTTTTAATGAATACCAGGAGCTACTGTTCGTCTTGAACATGCAGCATTCTATTGCAGTCTATGCAGGATCTAAGGAGTGATCACACGATGCAGGAAACCCAAACGTTCCTGGAAGTTGCACAGCCCTACTCCAGAGCAGCAAAGTGCCGCTGCTGGACCTCAGTGTTCCACACACACCAGCCCCGTCCCTGAGTAAGAGGTGTGAAAGTTCCGCAGAGTTCCTTTAGGGGAGAGGGAGGGGGGACCCGACACACTCACCGAACAGAAAACACACAGGGTCACAGTTCACTGAATGGGATCAGCCACCGTCACTGCCACAGCGGGGGAAATAAATCATATCATCCCAGACCAGACCAGGTGAACCGGGGAGAACAAAAACCAACGTCAAAAACCATCCCCAAAGTCCCAATGAAATGCAGTTTGTATTTCTACTTTTTTTTTTTTTTAAAGGTTTGAGGTAAGTGGTGGCCGTCTCTGTACCCCTCCCTCCCCCTCTGCCCGCCTTGTGGCCCAGACAAACTGAAATGATTCCCAAGTTCAACATTCTAAAGGAACAGTCATTTTTATATATTGAGAAATTCCCTATAAAGAGAGGTTCTTGTTTGTTGGTTTCTTATTAATAGTATTATTATTATTATTTATTTTTTCTTTTTCGCCCTGACTAATTTCTTGGTGATTGTGTTCAGTTGTAAACGTAAAAGGCCTGCTGTTATCTAAGTTTTAAAAAAATGGAAAACGGGAAAGAAAGAGGAAAGAAAGACGGCTGTTGGTGAATATTGCCAAGAGGACAGTACAGAGGCACGTGGCTGATCCTCGTACACTGACCGGCACCGAAGAGTTTCTACCCCTGTCATTGTTAGGTTCGCTACACAGAAGCGGCGACAGGCTGCTCCGGACTCGCCTGTCTGCAAACCAGAGGAGGCTCCCGTCTTGTGCGTGTTCTTCCTACTTGAAGAGGAGAGCTGCCATAAGAGAGCAGTGACCAGGTTGGCAGGTGGTTCCCCTCCACAGCCACTGGCCGGCACGCTCGGATGGCATGCACGGTGCACCAAGGGCCACCACGCTTGCTGCCCATGCTCAGAGCCAGGGCTCCAGGTCTCAAGGACACAGAACCCCCAGGAGGGGCCTGCCTGTTGGCAGAAATGGCCATGGAAAATGGGTGACTCCAGCCTGCGTGGCTCCAGGGTGCGTCTTGGACGTGATCTGCCTCCTTCCTCCATTCCATTCACTATTTCACGGGGCGATGGGGGGACTGAAGCTCTTCCCCCAGATCTCCTGGGCTGGCTCTCTGTGTGACATGGCAACAGACACGAGGGGCTCCTGCAGGCTCCCCGTCCGCCCAAGCACTCAGCATCCACAGCAGGGGGAAGGCGGGAGGGCTCCCCGTTCTGGTTCCTTCCCTCCAGCCCTTCTCTGGCCAGAATGGGGAAGATCCACCAACCACACAGGGAAAAAAAGCCAAAAGGAAATGCGCTTTAACTAGAAAGCACACAGGTCAGACTCTGTTGGCACAGAAAGTATTGCACATGCTAAGAGAGCAAGAGGATGCGATGGGAACCCAGGGGAGGACCACGGAATCGCGATGGTACTCCTATTGCTTCGAACCAAATGTGTTTTTTTTCCCGTTTTAGTGTTGGTTGAGTGGATGCGGTCAGTTCCATTCGCAAAGCAGGCCTGGAAGGTGGGGTGTGTTTTTCTGAGCCCACGTGAGCTGTTGTAAATAGTGGTATGAATGAGAACAGAGTCCGTGGGGTAGCCCCGTGTTCCTCTCACTATTCAAGGTTAAAAACAAAAAAAAAAAAAAAAAAAGAAAAGAAAAGAAAACCCAAACCTAATAATTGCAAGTGCCCTGAGCAGAATATATGGAAGATTAAGCAAGTTCTCTGAACAGAAACGTTTAAGAAAAACAGCACTAACTAAGCAGGAGGACTGCGGAGAGCCCACCTAGCTTTGCTAGCATGCCGAGAGGGTAATGAAGTTTCAAGACAAGTCAAGGAAGGAGTTTAGCTATTTCTAAACCTATTTAAATGTTTTTGGTACACCCCAGAAACTGGTTTATAAAAATCATTAGTCCTGCTGAGAGCTAAATGTGAATGAATACTAGACAGCTAACCTGTGGGTTGATGTTAGGATTTTTTTTTTTTAAATTTGTGAAATGGAAGAAGTACTACTTTCACTGCAAAAAGAAAAATCTAATAAGTATATTTGTTTAGCTGCAGCCATCCAAGTAAGAATATTTAAAAACTTCTCCCTACTTATAAAACATTTTTTTTTTGTTGTTGTTGTTGTTTTGTAAAGCATGTTAGGATTCACTTGAAACCCACAAATGATGATTCAGATCTCTGGGAATGAAAGGTTTAAACTTTATGAAATACCCTTTCTGGGTTTGTACCAAACATTAAATCTTGATTTGATTTCAAATAGAAAAAAAAAAAAGTCATTCTGAAAATAACATTAAGAACAATAATAAAGTAATTTTTAAAAAAAAAAAAACTTGCTCACATATATAAATGTCTTTATGGAAAACTCTCTCAATGAATCTGAAGAAAATTCTCAGAGTTGTCCTGCTAAGACCTGGCTTTTCATGACAGATGTGGTAGAAAGACCAAAATGAATTTTTGAAAGGAACATAACCTTATAAAATGGCCTAGCGTTTAGGCAGGTTAGAAAGTAATTTTGCTACATTTATTTATGCTCGTTCCGTCCCCCAAACCTTTCCCACAATGTTATTGGATAAAAACTGCAGGAATATCACACAAATTATAAACTCAAGATGTGCAAATTGCAAGGTTCGTTAAAAGTTCATCTTAAAAACACTGGACAAGAATGAGTATTCTTTTCTCCATCCCTTCTCTCTCAGTTTCTCTGCCAACTCTGCATATGCCTTGAATTCCTTCTCCAACATCAAAGTGGCAAGTGTCTCCTGTCAGGTAGTACTTGGTGGTCATTTATGGTCACATACTAGTTCATAATTCACATTCATCCCTTTAAACCACATTGAAACTTTCAGTATCTTGCTCGTGAGCAACTCTGCAGAGTTGAAATGCAGTTACAGTGTTGGGGGAAAAAAAAAAAGAAAAGAAAGAAAGCAACTAAGTTTTTTCCTTTTTTTTTTTTCCCTCTTCCCAAAGAGTTTTAAGTGAGATACAGTACTCATTAAATGACAGACCAAGATGCTTGGTAGTAAAGTGTGAACAGCATTTTAAGTGCTTAGAGATAGTAATATTTGCTCATCTTCCAAATCTCATTCCTCGTATCCCACTGGAATCTGAAAAAAGTGGCACCCGGGTTGTCCATAGTGATGAACTATAAACAGTACTAGAGTTAAAAGACAAAAGATTTTGCAAACTCAACTGGGAGAGCCTCATTGCTCTCGCTGGATGGCAGTTTGCAGCCACCTCTTGGGAGCTGAGTCAATGCAATAACCTGATTGGTTGTCCTAACACTGCTCAGAAACCAGCTCCCGCCCACCCACCCCGATGGAGCGACCTGAGCAGGGGCTTCCCTGCCCACGGTGACACCCTGGTGACATCACTGCACTTGTAAAGCAGAAAGGAAATCCCACGTGTGGCAGTTGCTCTTTTTAAAAACAAAATATATATATTTTTATATATATCAGTGCAGTCAGGCCCCATAGGGGGAAATATATATCTATATGATTAAAAGTTGCTTTTATTGTAAAATAGGTTGGAGAGAAAAATGTTCTTTGAAACTGTCAGCTTTCTATCTGCCATCTGATGTCTCCCTAAGACACCCTGAAGCTGGGTTCCTGATGAGGATTTTGCACACAGGGAACCCCAGGAGGACACTGCTGGGGACCCCCATTCCCATGCTGACAGCGAGAGGCAGAGAAAAAGAGACGCCCGCTCTCCACCGCCGCACCCGTGCACCCCCACAGGCGTGCACCCCCACAGGCACGCACCCTGCACCCTGGCAGTTCCCTTCCCGTGGAACTCTCTCTTGAAACGAGAGGGAATCCGTGCCCATTGGATGCCTCGGTGCCGCTGGAGAAGGCGGACGCTGGTGAAGCCACATTCGTTTCCACCCAGGATGCCTGGAGCCTGGATTGTCACTGCTCTGACCCCCCCCTCCACCCGCCTGCTCCCCGACAGACACTCTCAGACAAAGCAAATGCACCAGTCTCCCGTGACACACCTGCTGTAACTCTCATGACAAGGTTAGAACAGAAACCTAAAGTAAGAGGATAACATGTAAATACTGTGTTCTTAGCCTACAGTACAGTAATCTGGATACGGATGGTTAGGGAGAGACATTTCCTTCCCCAGTCGGCCTCTACTTGCCCAGGTTAGACCGGCCCTCGATGCAGATCTTGACCTCCTGAGGGATGAGAGAGGGCTTGGGAAGAGTCAAAGGTGGCTCCTCTTCGGGCTTCTCCAGTTTGCGGGTCTCCGGAGCTGACCACCTCCTCTTCCTCGTGGCCGTGGGCTTGCTGGGTTCTATTTTGGTGAGGAAGGGCGCTGCAGGCAATCCTATTTTTTCTGGAAACTTCAGTTCACCATTCTCAGAGAGCATCTGGGCACTTCCCTGATTGATTCCATTCTCCTGCTCGGCATACCTGTGTCTGCTGCCCGCCAGGCTGTCCGTCTTTGAGTGCTTCAGCAGGACGCTGGCAGGATCCACGGGCGGGCCCTTTTTAACAGAGCCGTTCTTCAGGTTCTTGAGGGTCAGCGAGATGCAGACATCCCCAACAGAGAGTTTGGAACACGGCAAATCAAAGAGCTGGCTGGTTCGCTCTGGGCAGCAGGATGACCAGCCCTGTCCAAACACAAAAAAAGGGTACTCTACCAAAACCTCAACGCTGACCTGCAGAGACAGGGAGAGACAGAGAGAGGAGAGAGGAAGGGATCATGAGAACCATTTGCCGTTTTGGTTAACACATGTGCACAGGCTGAATGGGGAAAAAAAAAAAAAGACTTAGTTTAATACAGATCCGAGCGACTGCAAGCTCCGTGAAGAAGGCACCATGTTTATCACTGTACCCCAGCCCCTTGAAGGGGACTTTGCATGTCGCTGGAACAAAACAAATATTTACTGGCTAAATGAGTATGTGCTCTAGAAACTTCAGAATTGTCAGTAAGGGCTTGAATGACTAGGGAAGGGTTTCCCAGGATCCAAAGGTTGGTTAGGGTTTGGAAGGACACCCAAGGGCACAGTCCATCCTTCAGTTCATGCCCTAGGCACCTAGACCAGACCAGTCTGTGTTGGTTTGAAAAGCCAATATCAGAATCCCAGGATCCCATCCACAGCTGCCCCTTCTCTGTGCCACTGTGTCAGCCACCATGCTGAGGAGACCACAGGAAGACAGCTCCAGTCCCAAAGGAGATCACAACCAAGTGGGCCCAAGAAACACATGATCAATAACTGCCAATCAACGTGGTGGTGGTGGTGGGGTGACAGAGCTGTGTGGAGTCACTGAAAGGAGAAAGACACATACCAGTCTAGGAGAAGTGGCGCCTAAGGAAGTTTCACTGGATGAGAAGATGCTGGGCTGAGGGTAGAGACATGGCAGTGAAGAAGAGAGACCCCGGAGTAGGGCTCTGTGTACAAAGGACAGAAGGGGACAGTGAACCGGCCACAGTCTCACTGTTGTCACTGCGTTAGAATGAGACGCACTTCAGATTTTTAACAATTTAATTCTCCTGGGCATTTTATGTCTTCAACTTTATTTTCAAAAGAAGATGAAATTAAATAGTTTAAGAAGCAAATTTTCAATGGTCCTTATAGATGGAGAAGACTAGATGGTTTGAATCAACCTTCCTGTTAAAGACAAATTTGAAAAAAAAAATTGCACATACACACAGAAAAACTACCACCAAAAAAAAAAAAAAAACCATTTTTTTTTTAAATATGGCACTGGACAGAAAATGAGAGTAAAGAATTACTTACTGAGTCAGATCAAGAAATGCCGACAACCCAGAACCCTGTTTGGGGGCCTGTTTTATACAGTGCAAGGCAGAGCAGTTGTGAAATCAAGTGGGCTTCTGATAATCGCAAAAGGGAAAGTGGCAGGGAAAGGAGTTCAGGGTACCTCAAGGGAGAAGGCTCTTGGTAAACCCACTATTGGGTGGTGGCCACAGAGCGTCACACCTTAGAAGGAACGATGACCAAGAAGCAGACAGGCCTTTCAAGTCCTAAAGCTCAGATCTGAATCATTTCAGTCCCTAAAATTAGATTAAGGTCTTAGATTATTTCTGCAAGTGATTTGACAAATTTTGTAAAAAGTTGGGGATTGAGGGGGGGAAGCAAGATCAGATAATATGAAAACCAATAAGGAGAGCAGACAATAAAAAAATCAGACTCATAGGAGCTTCTGAAATAGAGTCATCAGATATAGACTTTAAAAATGACTATGCTTACAATATTTAAGATTAAAGGTGAGCTTGAGGATGACGGTGGAGAATTAGAATCTATTTTTATAAGATCCTTGGAAATCCTCAAATTCAAACAACACCCCCTCCCCTTAAGAATGCAAGGCATTTTAAAATGAAATAGACACAGCTGAAGAGAAGATTAGTGAACTGGATTCTAGTAAGAGCTTTAGAAGAAACTATAGAGAATAAAACAGCTGGGGTTGTGGCCCAGAGGGGTAGAGTGCTCACCTAGCACATGCAAGGCCTTGGGTTTGATCCTCAGCACCACATAAATAAATAAATAAACAAACAAACAAATAAATAGATAAATAAATAAAGGCCTTGTGTCCAACTAAAAAATAAATTAAAAAAACACCTAGAATAAAATGCAGATACAAAAAGATGGTTAATACAGAAAAGAGAGATTCAAGAAGGTCTAATAATAACTTGAATCCTAGGAGTAGGGGAGAGAAAGAATGGGACAGATATAATACCTGAGATGATGATTAAGAATTTCCAGAAGCAAATGAGAAACAATAGGTCATGGATTCAAGAAGGATTGACCTCAAAGAAAGAAAAATAAAAAGAAATCCTCACCTAGGTAGGCTGTCCTTAAACTAAAGACACATCGTCTCCAGAACAAAATAAATGTTACCTCCAAATAAGCAACAATTAAACTCAGTTTATGTCTCAACAAAAATAATGTTATCCAGAAGACTACAAAATACCTTTAAAGTACTAAAGAAAAATCGCCAATTAGAAATTCTACAAGGAGAGAACAAATCCTTCAAAAATCGAAGCAATATAAATACACTTTTTTTTTTTTGGCAAACTAAAATAATTCACTGCCAATGAGTCTATACTACAGAAAATACTAAAGAGTATTCTTTAGGTAGGAAAAAACCCTGAATCTGGATAAAAGTTTGTCGATTTGGGGAAGAATGAAGAACAAAGTAAATGGTAGGTGTGTGGGTAAATCAAAATGAATACAAACTTTCTATTGAATTTTGTGTACATGCATACAAACAGAAACAAATAATTGAAATTTTAAAAACTCTCTTAAAATTAGTCAATTTCCATATAATGTATATGGACTGTGGCTTTAGAAAAGTAGAACTTAATCTTCTTAATCTTCCTTGATAACTCAAAGGTAGTTATAGATACACACACTATTTGTGTGTTTTTTTTTTTTTTAAGTGTGTGTGTGGCTCTAGGATGGAACCCCGGACCTTGTGCATGCTAAGCACAAGCTCTATCACTGAGTTACATCCTCCCAGATAAACTCTTTGAATGACAGGCTATTAGGTCTACAGCTGTGTTTCTAGAAGAGACAACTGTGGTGGATTTCCATGGAAGTCCTTCTACTATTAACAGGAGCCCATACACATGTGCATGTTATTTGGGGGAAATGCACTATTCTGGGCCCTTTTAAACTTGAAAAGATAGTTAAATTCTTTCTAATGCCTACTCTTTGCCAAACACTCAGGGGACAAACTTGTTTTAAAAAGTATTTTGTTTACTGCTCATAATTTATTAGTGAGATAGGTATTGTTATTCCAATTTTATTAATAGTTTCAGAGACATTAAATAACTTGCCTAATGTCATAGCTATTAGCTGATGGGATGGGATTTAATCCCAGTCCTTTGGCCCCCAAACCAACCTTCTTTTTCCTATGCCTCCTGACTTCTATACCCTGCAAACAAAGACATTTCAGAATACCAAAGGGATGACTTAACATTCTCTTTACCCCCAACAGCAGTGAATCTGACTTGAAGTAAGTAGGATTCAATGGTGTGAGCTCACAGGATTATTTCATAGTACCTAAAATTGTGATATGGTGTCTCATAGCTACAATTCAAGTCATCCTATGTGTGTGTCTGACAAGGCTGATGTTCAGTTTCAAAACCACATTCATATTGCACATGTACACAAACTGGTTGATTAGCTCTTAACCAAAATGTCTGGTGGTCCCAAAACTTCTATTATCACATTACAGATACTCATCCTGCATTTGCATGTGTGCATGTGAAACAGTTACCAGTTACAGTGTCAAAACTTTCCACCGAGTTCGAAGTGGGAAGATCATGCTGGAGGGGACTCCAAATATCTTCTCCCTAACTTCTTAGAGCCACTAATAACATAAGATGTGTAGAAGGAACAAAATCCTATTTCAAATGGGGATTATTTAGCTGCATTTCCAAAACAAAGTTCTCAGGTGTCAATGTCTCCTAAGAATCTACCAGACTTACCGTCTGCTCACTTCTACCTAAGGTCAGTTGAAGGCAATGTGATATTTTGATGCCAGAGGTCCTATTTCCAAACATGGATGCCTCTTTTTGGCCCTGCACCACTCACTATTGCTTCCTGGTTCTTGGACATACTGCCTCTTTGCTGGCAGACAACCCGACACCTACGGATGGGCAGGTCCTTGGTGTGTACACCGGCTCATGTATGCTTCTTGGAGCAGCTGGTGCTCATTTTCTAACAATAACATCTACTGTAGACACACAGATAAATCTATATGTTTCACTTGTTACCAAAATATCTGTAGACTTAGAGGAAATGTCTCCAGGGCCTTTACAACAGTCTCCATAATTGACTGGCTTAAAAGCTATGATATCGATGTGTATGTTTACCATGAAAGATATTATAATGTTTTGGGGCATTTTAGAAGTCTTTCTTATTCCCTCATCAAAACTCCAAAGACAGGCCTTAAAATTAAACTCTGCAGTGTGGTCCACAACTAGAACGGTCTACTGAAAAAAATTCATGAAGGAAACATAATAAGCGGGGGGAGGGAGCAATATTTGAAATGAATTCTAAAAGGAGTCGATATTAATGGAATTTATTTTAACCTTTATCACGATGAGCTTGTCTCTGGTCCCTTCTGCTTAAATTCTGGCTTTGCCTCCTGTGTTATCCTGGGAAAGATGTCAGAGGTTATCAGCAGATAAGTTCAGTGGGGTGTGTGCAATCCAAGTTAAGAGCGGGATTATTCCAATGATTGATCATTGTAGGCAGTTTGATTGGATGGCTCAGGAAGACACTGTTTTTCTCCTAGCTAGTCTGAACTATCTAAATAATGTGACTTTTTTGTTTGAATCTTTGTGAATTTTAAAAAGCATTCCCCCCATTGTTGGTGAAAGTTTTAAAAAATCTGGTGGCACCTATCTCAAAGAAGTACTTCCAACAAATCTTATTTTGTAATTACTTTGTCATATAGACATAAGTATTTTTTTTTGGTACTGGGGATTAAACTCAGGAGCACTCAACCACTGAGGTACACCCCCAGCCCTATTTTGTATTTTATTTAGAGATGGGGTCTCAGCGAGTTGCTTGGCACCTTGCTAAATTGCCTCAGCCTCTGGAGCCGCTGGGATTACAGGTGTGCGCCACTGTGCCTGGCTAGACATAAGATTCTTAAAGCTTAATTGGCAGTCTGCTTTCAATGC